CAGGATGTTCTCTGTACACATGGTAGGATGAACTACACACTGTCAGGGTCGTTCTCTGTATACAGGGTAAGGATGAACTACACAGTCAGGTCGTTCTCTGTACACAGGGTAAGGATGACTACACAGTCAGGACGTTCCCTGTACACAGAGTATGGATAAACTACACAGTCAGGTCGTTCTCTGTACACAGGAGTAAGGATGAACTACACAGTCAGGTAGTTCTCTGTACACAGGAGTAAGGAATAACTACACAGTCAGGTCGTTCTCTGTACACAGGGTAAGGATGAACTACACAGTCAGGTCGTTCTCTGTACACAGGGTAAGGATAAACTACACAGTCAGGTCGTTCTCTGTACACAGGGTAAGGATGAACTACACAGTCAGGTCGTTCTCTGTACACAGGGTAAGGATAAACTACACAGTCAGGTCGTTCTCTGTACACAGGGCAAGATAAATTAAATAGATGAACTGAATGGATCAATGCATAGGGTACGGTGAGGTGACAGGGTTTAGTACACAGGGTATTTTGAGGTGAAACAAGGATCAATAGACAGGGTACGGTGAGGTGAAACAGGGATTAATACACAGGGTACAGTGAGGTGAAACAGGGATTAATACACAGGGTACGGTGAGGTGAAACAGGGATCAATAGACAGGGGTACGGTGAGGTGAAACAGGGATTAATACACAGGGTACGGTGGGAGGTGAACCAGGGATTAATAGAGAGGGGGTACGGTGAGGTGAAACAGGGATTAATACACAGGGGTTCGGTGAGGTGAGACAGGGATTAATACACAGGGGGACGGTGAGGTGAAACGGGGATCAATAGACAGGGTACGGTGATGTGAAACAGGGATTAATACACAGGGGTACGATGAGGGTGAAACAGGGATCAATAGAAAGGGTACGGTTAGGTGAAACAGGGATTTATACACAGGGTACAGGGATGGTGAAGGGAGGTGAAACAGGGATTAATACACAGGGTACGGTGAGGTTGAAACAGGTATTAATATACAGGGTACGGTGAGGTGAAACAGGGATTAATAGAGAGGGTACGATGAGGTGAAACAGGGATTAATAGAGAGGGTACGGTGAGGTGAAACAGGGATTAATACACAGGGTACGGTGAGGTGAAACAGGGATCAATAGACAGGGGTACGGTGAGGTGAATCAGGGATCAATAGACAGGGTACGATGAGGTGAAACAGGGATCAATAGAAGGGGTACGGTGAGGTGAATCAGGGATGAATAGACAGGGGGTACAGTTAGGTGAAACAAGGGATCTATATGCACGGTACTGTGAGCAAAGCAGCGATTGATATCAGCTTGTCCCCTTGTGATACAATGACATCAAAATAGGGTTTGGTGCATAGATTACCGTAAAGATAAATGCGGAATAATACATGTGGTTTGGTATATAGATTACCGTAAAATATAAATGCGGAATAATACATGTGGTTTGGTACATAGATTACCGTAAAGATAAATGCGGAATAATACATGTGGTTTGGTGCGGTGTAAATGGGTTCGGGTTGACACCAAGTAAAGGACTCAGTTTATTGTTATCTCGTTTGATGACACCCTTCGTTTTACAAAGATCTTATACTATTTACAATGAGAGATTTGTCTGGAACAATAGTCAGTGTTGTCCAACAAGCATTGTTCACAGGAAGCACAGCCACCGAGGACGCTGCAGCACTACCACTTCACAGCATGGCCAGACAAGGGTGTTCCACATGAAGTTAGGTCTCTTGTTGAGTTCTACAGGCTTGTCAACGGCAACTCCCATCTACAAGCCATGGGCCAAAGGTCGTACACTGCAGGCACGTAGCACTGACTCACATATTAATGTGTGAGGACGTAATCCAGACTTCTGTCAATACAGACCATTTACCGTTCCCATTAGTAACCCATACAGTCACATAGAAAACTTCTTTTTACTGCGGATTCCGGACTGAAATTGATTTAAAGAAGACGATTTTACCATGAAATAGCTCCCTGTAACTTAACGCTTCAAACACACCAACAGCATATCCTTTGACGAGGAAGAATTTATTTGATTCATGTGCTTTATGGTTAGATAAGATTCATTTGCTATCAAACTCAGACCGATGGTTTCTTTAAATATTTTGCATCGGTTTTCCAGTGCTGAGGATTGGCCGCACAGGAACCTTTATTGCTCTGGACTATTTGGTTGCACAAGCCAAAGGAGGAAGGCGTCGTAGATGCCTATGAGTGTATTAATCAAACTCCGGCACCAGCGTATGGATCTTATCCAGACAAAGGTGAGAGCTGATTCGAGACTTTTTCTTTTCTGTTCCTGGAATGAAAAATATAATACAAAACATATCCATTAATAGAGATAAGAACTCCAAGACGAAACCGAGGGATGCAAACCTTTTGGTTCATTTCTCTTTTGAAGATGCCCATTAGTCTGCTAGCGTTTGTGTCAGAATTGTAGCGAGATTCTATGTTGCTCACCACCCCAGTATGTATCTAGTAGACATACATTTGACCACTTGCAGTATTTAATGGGCCATAGTAAATGGGGTATTCATTTTAAAGGATTATTATTATCTGTTTGTAGGATCAGTACATATTTCTACACGATGCTTTGATAGAGGCCCTTCCTTCGTCTGACAGACTGACAAGAAGAGACCTGTGAATGCGAGGTCCTCAAAACATCTGTATAAACAATCAAACACAGTTGTGTCGAACATACGGGTGTCTCGATACAAAACTTGTATCCGTGTATTCGGTTGTATCGAACCTTGGGTAACTGGAAACTTTTCTTAGGTTCCTACAACTTCGCAACAACGGTATTTTGACGTGTAGTGATGACGACAAAATGCCTCGTGGATTTCGTTGATATATCAACTTCAAAATGACATGTAATTTGTAGCGCACTTGCACTGGGTTAATGCCTTAATCTGCTAAGAATGTTCAACACCATCATTACTTTTACAGAAATTGCTAGTGTTACAGCAGAGTCAACCGAAAATATTGTCTCAGAGGCTACGTATCTAGATGAAAATGTCTGGTTTGTGAGTGTGAGTGTTCCAGTCTCTAAACTCCTACCAGTTTGTTGTACCTGAGTATATATGCCCACATGTTTGTGAGTGTTCCTGTCTCTAAACTCCTACCAGTTTGTGTATCTGAGATAAGAAAATGTCTGGTTTGTGAGTGTGAGTGTTCCTGTCTCTAAACTCTTACCAGTTTGTGTATCTGAATATATATGTCCACGTGTTTGTCGGTCCCGGTCTGAGGTGTTCCTGTCTCTAAACTCCTACCAGTTTGTGTATCTGAGTACATCGAGGTTTATATCCACGTGTTTGTGAGTCCGACAGTTAAGGAGTTTAGATAGCTGTTGACTGTAGAGTAAGAACTACCCGAACTGTAGAAGCCTTGTCATGTACAGAGATATAGACCTTGAGGGGTGCTGGCATGATGGAATGTGTCTATAGTGTAAATATTTGCATTGTTTGTTTAACTAACGAAATCCGACATAATGAGAGTCCGAGATACAAAACATTTTATTATGACAACAAGAAGGATTACGTCGGGACCGTGAGTTTAGTCGTGTTTATACAGCAATCCGAGAAAGACAGAGTCCGAGAAGACAGACAGAGTGCACTGTAGTCAATATTTCAATACTATGTATAGCCTATATAAATAACATGTAATAAATTCCCTCATGTGTAATATATTTTGAGTCTTTACTAATAAACGATCGATTTAAACATATTGTAGATAGTATGAATACGAATATGAAACAACCAGAAACATGTTTCAATCCATGGCCCTCATAAGGTCACCTTAGAGTGGTGACGTGACATGTCTGTTTCACTCAGGGAACATGTTCTCAACATGTTATAATCCCTAAACCTATAGTAATCCGGAATATGTTATAATCCCTAAACCTATAGAGGTCACGTGACATGTCTGATTCACTCAGGGAATATGGGTAATCCGAAATATGTTATAATCCCTGAACCACATACGGGTCACGTGACATGTCTCTCATTCACTCAGGGAATATGGGTAATCCGAAATATGTTATAATCCCTGAACCGCATACGGGTCACGTGACATGTCTGATTCACTCAGGAATATGGGTAATCCGAAATATGTTATAATCCCTGAACCGCATACGGGTCACGTGACATGTCTGATTCACTCAGGAATATGGGTAATCCGGAACATGTTATAATCCCTGAACCGCATACGGGTCACGTGACATGTCTGATTCATTTAGGGAATATGGGTAATCCGGAACATGTTATAATCCCTGAACCGCATAGGGTTCACGTGACATGTCTGATTCATTTAGGGAATACGGGTAATCCGTAACATGTTATAATCCCTGAACCGCATATGGGTCACGTGACATGTCTGATTCATTTAGGGAATATGGGTAATCCGGAACATGTTATAATCCCTGAACCGCATAGGGAAGTCACGTGACATGTCTGATTCATTTAGGGAATATGGGTAATCCGGAACATGTTATGATCAATGTATTAAAAGGATTATATATTTTCTTTAACACAGATAATCATATCTATAACCGCAATAACACATAGCCTGTTAAGACGAGGTCATTAGTTCATACACACGGAGGTCGTTTGTCCATGTCTGGTGTGTTGTCAACAATGTGTTGAATGATGTTAACGTCTACTTACCTTCATTCCTTATTCAAAGACGGATCGAAGTAAGAAACGTTGACAGGGGAATGTATCCGTATTCTTCCATTACTCACCGACATGCATGTTTATTTATACTTTTTTGTACATCTTTACAAGCCACCATAATCTCTTGGTCTCTATACTTATATATAAAGATTCATATAGGACTAGAGCAGGAACCTCTAGATGGGCGTAGGCGGTTGACGTCAAACATGAGTACAACGTGTAGGGCCCACTCTGGTTGTTCCCGCCCTTATAATATTGGGGTTTGTTGTTTCTTTAATATTTTGTTATTGGTACCCAAGATTACAATGTCATATATATACAAAACTATGATACATAATGACAAATGGTGTACAGGTATTATATCAATATGATATTAATAAACATATGTAAACCAATAAAAGTGAAAGATGATATCAGGCATATATGGATGCATTTCGTACTGGGAAAATGGCCCCATTTGTGATTGAAATCATTTATTTGATTATTTTGTGTTTTGGATATATGATTTTCCACAAAAGAATATTTCTTTCAGAGGATTTATAAATAAAGTTATATTGGGATACATATTCGTAATGCTGCATATGTAAATATGTCTTTTACATCAATGATGACACGATTTAGTAATCTATTTTGATGTAGAGTACCAAACCAAACTGTATGTTTTGGTAATAGCGATGGATGAGGGTATGATTTGTTAAGCCAACTTTGCAGGTTTTCCAAAAGTTTGTGTCTCCTGCATTTCCAGTATACATGACAAACGCTCTCATTTACATCATTGCAGAAACAACACAAACTGTTGTCACCTTTTTCATTTTAAAGCAATTCTCTTTTGGTATAAATAATATCTTGTAGAAATCTATATTTTTATTTCTTTCAATCCTTTTCTATATACTGTAAATGCATTTTCCAATCAAAGTCTGTTTCAGGAAATAATACCTGCCATTTATTACAAATGTTGGATGTATATCATTAGAAATACGTTTATTATACTCAATCCTGCAGCGTTTTGATGTTTCTCCTTAATAGATCTGGCATTGGTTAACATTCAAATCCTGACTGGTATTAAATAACAGTGAATTAAGAGCATTTTTCAAGAGTCAGGTAATAAATATTATCTATAATCTAAAAAGTGCCTTTGATATAATATTTTTTGATTGATAATAATCCAGCTTCATCACAAAATATCCTTAATATTTATAATCCCTTCATCTGCCCAGTTTGTTATGTAGTTTGGTGAATGGTTTAGAATTGTGATGAAACCATAATGGTTGGGATAGAATTTCAATGATGTTATATGGGTCAATATAATGGTTTTTTGTGAAATAGTTGCCATGCTTTTAGCAAATCATGCCAAAAAGGATTTTCAATCTTAATGTAAGATTCAGAATTTGCTCCAAAAATTAAATATATCTTTGAAAGGCGAAAGGTATATTGCGTGGGGTATTCTTATCACATCTTTTGAAATACCGTCCTAAAGTGGATAATTTCAAAGCGTCCATAAATCGTTTTGTATCAGTCATTCTCATCCCTCCTTCTTCATAGTTGCAATTGGTTTTGTTTCAAACATTATGTCATATAACAATCTTGTATTTTCTCTAATAGTCCCACCCGGTACAAAATCAGTTAGATTAGAGTGAATAAGTTCATCTGAAGTAGTTTTTAATCTATGTGCATTGCAGGAGCCGATAATTCTATAAAAGCATTAAGTAAAAGTAATTGGCCTCCAATTTTTAAGTAATGTAATGTCTTTTCATATTCAAAGATATTTCATTTTTTGTTGACACAGTTTAAAATACTCTTCAAAGAAGAAACTTGACATAGGAAAAATATATATTTTTAGGAAAATATTTGACACAAAACCAATCCATGCTTAATCCCAACATGTGGAGGAATGGTTGCCGACGACAAAACGTTTGAAAAGAGAAACGTTGAACCAAAACGTAACGTTACACTCACGTCTGTAGTGAATCGCTAAAACGCACCCTACATGAAATACACGTGCATCATGAAATTGTGTATCACCCTGAGCTGAAGCCTATTACTGTAGGCTTTAAAAAGCCACATCAGGGGTACTCCATATGCATTGCTTTAAGCCACCAGCCACCATAGAAATGAAAAGACCGACAGAAGCTCAACGACACAACGCCATCGTCCGTTTATGAGGACGGGCATTGCAGCAGGAGGTGGCAAGGCACTTCAGCGTGTCCAGACAGACCATCTCAAACCTTTGGACCCTATACAACAATACTGGGAGTGTTAATGACCCAGGTCAGGTCGACCTAGAGTTACCACCGCCGCCCAGGATCGCTACATCCGGCTGAGACATCTTCGTTGAAACACCACGGCCGCATCATACACAACAATCCAAATCCCTGGACTGCGCCGAATCTCCGACCCGACAGTGCGCAGTTGGCTATGGGAAGCGTGACCTTTTGCCAGAAGACCAGTTCAACGTCACGTCGCTCCCTTCATCAACGGCAACGGTTGATCTTTGGAGCATGACAATGCTCGACCTCACTCTGTACGTGTTTGACAGGACTTCCTACAGCAAAACAATGTTCAGGTGTTAACTTGGCCTTCTCGATCACCCGAGTTGCCCCCCATGGAACATATATAGGATGCTCTTGATCGACGCTTGCGCCAGCGTAATCCGCCACCTCAGACACTACACGAACTGCTCACAGCACTTCAGCAAGAGTATCAAAACATTCCTCAAGACAGCATTCAGCATCTCTTTTCTACGGGTCACCGCTGCCAAGCTGTTATCGATGCTCATGGTGGTCACACCAGATACTGACATTTTACTCTGACCAAGTAGCTTTAATAGCCCTCTGTGGTTTTACAAAACACTTTCTGGATAATCATGATTTGGAAATTTGTAAAGTGATGATTTTGCTATAATTGAGCAATGATATCATGTTTGAATCAGTTATATGCACTCAGTAAGTAAAGCCCCAAACAGCATGTCACGTTTCTTTTTCTGAAG